ATAGTCTTGGAATCTGTCATCTCAACCAGCCACAGTTTGGTCTCCTTTGAGTGTTTTGGTGGTAGGTAGAATCAGTCATCTTAATCAGCCACAGTTTTGTCTTCATTTAGTGTTTTGGTGGTAGGTAGAATCATTTATCTCAACCTGCAACAGTTTGGTCTCCTTTGAGTGTTTTGGTGGTAGGTAGAATCAGTCATCTCAACATCCACAGTTTAGTCTCCTTTGAGTGTTTTGGTAGTAGGTAGAATCAGTCATTACAACCATGCACAGTTTTGTCTCCTTTGAGTGTTTCGGTGGTAGGTAGAATCAGTTATCTCAATTGCAACAGTTTGGTCTCTTGTGACTGTCCTGGTGGTGATTGACCTATTGAGCCTGATGGTACCAAGGGACGGACAAAGTTTGAATCTCTCCAACACTTGAGGACATTCCTGGTACCGCAATCGAAAGTCAGGCTTCGGCAATTTTAAGGGATACCAAGCATCTTATGCATAAGGGTTTTTACTTTGGCTTGAAAACCTTTATTGATAAATTCTCAATATAACACGCGACCATGATCCAGTCATACACTGGTCGAAATGAATACTCAGATATTAAAATTGTAATGGGTCATTCGGGCCTGATATTGTGCATGGCTATTTCGGAAAATATATGCACATTATGTTAACTAAATTCTAAAAAAAATATAGAGTGGGAAAATTAATACTGTAATTAATCAATGTGATCTTAATTGCAATATATAATTGGTTATAGGTAATTTTCCAAAATTAGACAGCCGGCCCTTCTCACCTTTCTCCGTGTCCAGAAATGTTATTTAAAGTACATGCCGTAAGTGTCGGTGGGTTGTTCCCATCCGATGAACAATTATTGTGTTATACCATACTCTTGTGGTTGTACACACAAATCAATCTCCGAGGCGCATGCTTGCACGAAGCCTGGGGTGTAAAACATGTCGAGTGGTGGTTCCTGTATCCCACTCTACGATCCCCACGGTGAACTTTCCTTGTTTTTGGCATCCAGGCCATCGTTGCCTTGAGTCAGCAGCCTCTTCAAGACATTTTGATCACTTTACATTTTACTTTTCACACTCTTTAAATCACAAAAAGTTGCCTGGGTAACAAATGGACATGATGAGGCTTACATCTTTAATGCTGAAAGAAATCAGGATGATTCCAGACGTAGCAATGGCTGAATTGAATGTCTGAATTGAATGGCAATGGCTGAATTGAACGCATACCTCCATATTGATGAAGGCGTGGGCTTCCAGCTATTTCATTATCTTGCTACTCTTGTCACAGCCGAAATTTTGGTTAAAGACTTCTACTGTATACTCGAGACACTCATCAACAATCTGTTCGTGTTTCTATCCAGTCTTGAAACATCTCCCATTATCCAGTTCGAATTGCTCCACAAACTTTGGGTTGTCTTTTCTTGCTCACGACTCCAAGAAGACAAGCAGCCTTGGGTTAATCTTTTATAGCCTACAAGACCGTATTAAGATTACAACATCAAATACGAGCCACAGCAGCTTTGTTTGCTCACATGTGTGAAAGTCAGCATAAATTAAACCTTTATCATTTTCTGTGGAATCATGAGAGATTATGAATAATTGGTTTATCAAGTAAGGAAGCAACGTCTAAAGGAGTACATGGTATATATAATAAGCAAAAGTATGTCGTATACTTGAACCAGTTAAAAACTCGACACTTCCTCTGATCTGCGCGTTATTGTTTATATCTAAGGTCTTGAGTGTGTGTATACTGTACATTGTATGTGTGTGCATAAAGTACATTGCATGTGTGTGCATTATATACATTGTATCATTTTCTGTATGTAGTTTATTAGTATGACATGATGAACAATTTTGGTCAAACATTATATATATATATATATATATATATATATATATATATATATATATATATATATATATATATATATATATATATATATATATATATATATAATTGATAATGCACAGGGTCAAACTTGTACTACCATGACATACTAATACCCATCAACTTGCCCTGGATAAACCACGTGCGTGTTTGTTTACTGATGTTGTAAATGTTTACATGTAGTAAACTAAACTTAAGACATTTACACGTGTAAACAGTGAAACCTTATCATCCAGGAGAAAGCATGGAATTGGTATCATTTTATAAAATTATGGGGTTACTTGTGATACCCAGACTGTGATAAATTGGCGGCGTGCACAACACACCAACCTCTTCCACTACGGTTCGCTGCTAGGGAATGACCTCCCGTGGTGTAATTTACACAGTGTGGATAGATAGAAAGAAGAATGCAGATCTCTGAACAAGTATATTGAAGAAATAAACACAACGAGCCCCCTTTCAATAAACAAATATAAAATTTAATCAGTTTATCAGTGGAATTTAAATTGAAAAGAAATCAATTACTTGGTTACAAGAAAAGGAAAAATGTACTAACATGTACTCAAATAAAAAAAAACAATACAAATTTCTTTTACTGTTACGATTACTAGTCAGTGACAGAATTCTATCTTCATTGCCTACGAGATGTGACCTTTGAGTGCAACGATGAGTGACACCTTTCCTTATCTGGACATCGAGTCTGCCCTTCGTCCCTGCTCTGCCAATATTTGTCTAGTTATCTGGTCCTGGACTCTTGTCAGTCGAACTCTGATTTAACAATCGTCTCTGGATCTAGATTTCGGCTTAGAATTTGCTCTGGTATTGTCAGGGAAATCTTAGGAGAGTTCAGAAAAGATGTTTTCTTTTAATAAATACAATGTCTCGCAATAGTCAATAGGTCACATTTCCAAGTATATCTATATTTTTACATTAGTTCGGCTCAGAAAACAAAGGGCATAAATTCGGTTGCATTCAGGCTCACTAATTCCTATGTTTACATAGACGGTCATTGCCTGTACTGACCTTAATTTGGGTCACGCTAGTGGAGATCATTAAATTCCGCTCAGCTAAGACGTATGTGTCCGTATTTACCTTGACTTCTTACCCTATCTAGCAGCGTTAAATTACATATGGCTTAGACCCTAAAATCTAACTATTCTTAAATAGTTTATGTGATCAATTAAATATTACAAACTAGTATATAGATATACACTCAAGTGATTAATTAAATATTACAAACTAGTATATGGATATACAATCAATACATGTCATACTAGACATAGAGTTAATTCATAAAATTACGAAACATTACCCATCATTTATTAAGCTTAATTCTAGAAAATTCCTAAGCACTCCTATGTATTAAAGAATCAATTACATGCAATCTTGTCAATTCTCCAAATGAATTGATAATTAGAAAATCAAAGAATAAAATGTCATGACTAACATTTCACTAAAACCCTGCAAAGTGAAATAATACATACATACATCATAACATCAATACATTTGCAAGTAAATCAACAAATGAAAAAACATATTAAAATTGGGAAACTAAGATTGCGTACCTTTTACCGTTTCTTTATTCGTTTCCAACGCACCTCACGTATAGTCTGTCTCCTATCTGAGGCAACTATCCGGCTTTTTACTCAACAACGAAAACGTACTTCCTACGAATTCGGAATTCATCTAACTTTCCTCGCGAAAGATTGAAGACTGAAGAATTTTTTCCAATGCAAAACCTTTAATTTCTTACATAGTTACGCCCATAAATTACTATTAACCAATCGGAATAGACTGTTTCCTAAAACTGTTCCGTAGAATTTTTGATTGTCAAGACAGCTAATCATGCCGTAATTAACGTTCCTTTAAACATTCACTCATTGCCAAGCTTCCTCCTTTCGGGAAAGGGTCTTATATCATAGCCTTGTACCATAGCATATGACTCGGTCAAGTTTCGTCGCGTTTAACGAATTTTCTTTTGACGTTCAGAGATGAAATGAAAATAATCATCTGACTATCTTTAGCCCTTTCTACTTTAATTAAGTTGACTTTGATACAATTCATTTATTGCTTCTAAGAGTTTTCAAAATTCGACACATCACACAGTCTAATATGGAAAAGAACTCAAACTACATTAAGGACAGTTTTCTCCATTCCCAAATTACAAAGTAAATGTGGAAATGTTCAATACCATGATATGTTGAAGAAGTTTATTGATTTGCATAAGGATCTGACTATTTAAATTTTGGCGGTGGCAGGGTTGGATGGAGAAAGTTATTTAATAATATAACGATTTCTGGCTCATAAATATCTTTAAGAATTATTACTCAGATTTATAACAAACAAAACGATTCTTATATTCCATTATATTCTTGAACAAAAACCCAAAATTGTCCTTAGGTAAATAAAAATATATGCATGCTGAAATGGAATATTCCAACCCAACCCAACCCCCACACTCGAAAATTTAAGCGGTGGTCTCTAAACCAGTCTGATACTCGAAAAAAAAATAATGCATACATGCAATCTTCTGTGCAACAAATTTTCGTGGTTTTTAACTGATGAACGGCAGTCTTGTAGCTTTGTGTGGATGTGATCAACTTTCTAAACTATAATGTTAAATCAATTAAATGTTGGCAAACATTTAATGATGGATAATCATTAATATGCCAATAATTATTAAATGATAATTAAATCTCTTGATAATGTTATTTCACTACTTATATAAAGAAATTTTCATTCATATATAGTTTTGGATTACAAAATAATCAGATGAGACAAATATATTGAAGATTTAGATATTTTTGAGGTGTGATTATTACTACATTCACCCATTTTTACTGATGAAATACTCAAAACTACGTTGTTGTTTGCTATAAAGAAACCTGTACAGTGAGACGGGTTGAAAATGTGATGTGATTATGAATTTTAACGTAGCTTTAACAATTTTGTGGCAGTTTATAGTGATGTCTAGCACTGGGGAATCATGCCGCAGACATGTAGCATGATGTCCCTGACACCAGGCCGACCAGTTCTAACACTAACCTCTTAATTTTGAGCGCCAAGCGAGGAAGCTGTTAGTACTATTTGTGTAAGTCTTTAGTATGACTCGACCTGGCATCGAACCCACGACCTCCCGCATCCGAGGCGGACGCTCTAACCACTAGGCCACCGGAGCGGTTGAAAATGTCACAAGAACAAAAACTCTGGAAAACAAAGTATTTTTCTTATCTTATGGAGGAAAACCGAGATAATAAAAAGAATCTTGAGATGTTTATCTCATACTATGAAATATCAATATTCAGTTGTATTCAAGTAACAATATTTATTAGTCATTAGCTAATTGTGTGTGTGTCTGTGTGTATGTATGTGTGTGTGAAAGAGAGAGGTAGGTGTGTGTGTGTGTGTGTATTGTCCTGTTCACTAATATGCCAGAGGTTTTTTTTAAATGACTTCGTTATTTCCGTATCCTATTGGGCATCCTAGTGACCCTCTGGCCCAAGGAGCTCGCCTTTACAGATCACTAACATCTCACCGCTGTCTGTGTGGGTTCGAACCTCGGCTCGGCCAGCATGGGTATGTGAGAAACTTTGCCAGTAACTTTTCATGGTTCTTTCCTGGGTTATTCCAGCTTATATACTGGCCGCCATGTATAGACTATCATGTGCTGAAAAATGGCGTTAACCCATAAAATCAATCAATATCCTATTATTTATGAATATAATATACAAAGAAAGAAAAATATATATATATATATATTGAAAATTTAATAACTTTCAGACACATTTCTTAGAAACAAAAACGCGTAATAATTTTATTTTCTCTTTGAATTCCCCACAGTATGGATCATAAGCTAACTGAAAATATTATTGATTGATGTATCTTTATTACAGGTACAGGCGAAACCCGTTATAACGCAATTCCGATTATAACGGGATGGCAGCATGACTAATATTTTTTAATTTAAGGTGACCTCTCTTTTTAACATTCTAAATAATGCTCTCCGAGAAGCTGATTTTTCGTATCCCTTGCAGATTTTAATCCCAGCATTGTTAAAAGTTTCCTTAACTTCCAAATGTTTCTAAAACATATTGCAGTGTTATATTTGTTGACGATATATGATGATTACATTGAAATTTCAATGCGCATTTTCTATGGGAAAATTTTCGAAAAATTTGTTAATGTGATCCTGCTTATATTACAATGTTATTCTTTGGACCCCGAGCATTGCGTTATAATGAGTTTTACCTGTATTTATCTGCATTTGCGATGGAAACAGTTTAAAATTCTTCGCTTGCAACACATTTCTTTGTACTTCATCAGATGAATTAAAACAAATAATTTAATCTTTGCTATGACTTTATTGTTAATTTTAAGTGTCAAGCAGAATTATGCAAAGACCAACCTAAAGATAAAAGAAATGAATGAACTATTGTTATTCATACATGGAAGTACTTTTGTTTATCAACATTGATATAAAGATTATGAATATCCAGTTAATTAGATGAAGATATTAAAAAGGATTATTGCAGTTGTTATTAAATATGCCTATTAAAAAGTATGTAAATTATACGGATACTAACACCTTATAATAGCAGCCATGCTTTCTACTTCTAAATACAAAAATCGACTAAATTTTGTAGTTTAAATACTACTTGAAAATAGTATTGAAAAGAGAACATGCTGTCCTTTAATTTCGAATTAAAAAAGCAGTTTACGAATATAGACGAGGTTGTAGATGTAATATTATTTTTTGTGCAATGTTGAACGTCTGTGTTATGTGCCAGTTGATTGTGAAGCAGAGGCAGGAAGTTGAAGATTGATGAGAGTAACTTATGTTCTAGATGGACACATTCCTTGTGCTGTAACTGCAGAAGAACACTATATGATATTGTTACTTTCATTTTCCATTTTGACTGATTATATTGTTGGAAACAGTTTTCTTCTAATGATAAAACAATGTATCTGAAGGGCTTTAATTTATATTAACATATATGAATGGGGTAGTTAATTCTAATTTTTTAAACCTGTTTTTTAATGCATGAAATATGAGTAATAAATTTGGGAAAATATTTACTAATATGATAAAAAAAATATTATTTTCATACATGATCAGAATCAGGCTGATATCTTACCTGTTCATTGTTAAAGATACATGTACTATTAACTGGCATTTCTTTAGCTATATATGCACTGACATAATCTTGTCTGTCCAAGTATCACGATCACTTCTGAGTTCCTTATGCGGTGTTATTTCAAACAAAAGAAGCAACAATAACAATAAATTTCCGAACAACATTTCTGGGCAAAATGACTTCATGTAAAAAGACCACCCAGTCTGGTTACACAAGAATTTTAGGTTATTATTGAAATTGTTTTATATATATATAAAAAATAGAATGAAAAAAAATGTTTTTTTTAACATTTTCTTTTTCACAAGAATCTTGGTTGCACAATTAAGGTAAAACACAAATTTGGGATGCATATATGTATGTATTCATTTGTACGTAACTTTAACATATTTTTTGTTTGTCATTTTATAAATAGTATTTTATACTTTTCAAAGACTTTTTAGCAACAAAATGCCCACTTAAAAGTACAAATGTGAATTTTTGAATCAATATTAAATTATTGGAAATATACAGCCTGTCACCACCAACCTGTAAACAAACTCTCAGTTTAAAGATGTTTTTTTCATAATACTTAAGTTTATATTTAATAGTAAACTTATATAATAATAACTCATTATAGATATTTATGATAAATAAAATATTTCATTTCTGTGGTAGTATATACCCAAAAGATATCATTGTATTTTCTCAGACATCAGTCCCTTCTTGATGCCAATTTGTGCTTTGTAATGCATTCTTTCATGATATATTTGTCTTTATTTAAGGCTGCCAGAGAATATCATAATTGAAAATAATTATAAAATACAAGTCTCATATAAACCACTGGTTACAATGAAGACATCAGAATTGAGTTTGATAGTCACATTAGGAAGTGTTTGTAAGTTTGAATGTATGCCAAGAAAGACTTGTAATGGAAACACAATGGTACATGAAATCAGCATTAGGACGGATTTCATTGTACAATTGTGTGTAGCTGGAAGGTCCATTAACTTTCTCAGTGCTACATCAGGTCCAACCTATATAATTCAGGGCCAAGTCAAGAGCTGATTCTTTCTTAGTCTCAGAGTTATTTCTGCATGTCATGAATACCATGACAACAAGGAACTACACCGAGATTTTCACAAATCATGGCTTCTAGCATACACTATAGTAATGGGACAATAGATAGAAACCCGGGGATTTTACTAAAATTGGCCAGTTACTTTTCCATCTGACCAGCTATTATTAGTATATAATGATGCTGCAAGGTAGAGCCCTGGAATAATACCACAAACCATGAATTTTTTTTTAAATAAGGATCAATGACAATTTAAAACAAGGCCGAGTCAGAAAAATATGGTGCCTGGCAGCCATGGCAAGTAAATTTTAATTTTGGGCAACAAAACTTCTCTCAAGCTTGTGCCCAACCAGACAACCAGATTTTGCCCTTTTAGTTTATCGGAATTTTTTTACCTTGAATATATGGTCAATTTTAGTGTGCTTTGAAATCTTTATTGTACACTAATGCCAGGGATCATTATGTTAGTTGGCCCCTGTGTCTGATATACCAGTATATAGTGTTTGTTAGTTAACATTGTACATTTTTTGCAAGTAACAGGTGATAATATACTATGGTCCTCTTTCACCCGTGTCTGTGTGCGTAACTGTGTGCGGCAAAATTTTCTTTTTTAAACTTGAATCTGCACTAACAAAAAACACATATAAACTGCACAATGAAAAGGCTCTTACACATTAATGAAAGTGTGCATTTCGTTGATGCACAGTAGACAGTGTCCAAGTCTGGAATCGAAACTTTCATTGGCTCACTTAGACAATATGCAAGATCATGTTGGGTCAGTTATTACGAATTTAGGCTCTTACAAAACATAACAGAAAAGAGTGAAGACAACAAGCTTTGTAAAATTTAACAAATAATTTATTTCCCTTGAAAACCAGGTAAAAATGAGAAAAAGAACTTATGGTTTTACGAATAAAATCTAAAATTAATCCAATCATTTAAAAATATTAGAAGTCCTATTATTAAATAGTCCTGAATGAATCTGAGTTCCTGCCCAGATTACCAAATAGGAAAAGTAGACACCGACTTATGGGCCCCACGCCCTTTGTTGGTTGGTAAAATTAAATTCATACTAGCAGAGGGGTGGGGGTCCTCGAGATTTTGACTGCCTAGGGACCTCCACAGGGTTTAATCTGGCACTACTGAGTTCGAGTCTGATGAAATCCAAAATGGAAGGTGATGACGTCTGTTGTAACCTGCGAAGTGCTGTTGTGTCAATAGTTGCTTGTTAAATCACAGAACATAATATTCCAGTTTTGAATTTCGAATAAATTTCAATAAATGTCTTTATCCAAGAATTTCATAGGAGCACATATATTTCCAGGGAAAAGAATCACTAATTCCATAAAATAAAATTGGTCACAACAAAACACCTTTAAGTGTCAATGGTATGGAGCCTGAATCAACAAAGTCTTAAAATAAAACAGTTATACACAAGTTTAAGACACAAAACAGATTCCCGGATAAGGGTCATATGGTCATCCTTCCAGAACAAAATAGAAGCTTTTTACATGCCTAAAATCACGTACTCCAAGTATGGCCTTAACTGAAATTAATCATTCTTACTCGGGGGAAGAATTCTTAAAAATGTTAAAGAAGTTGTTTAACAGAACTATCACTGGTTCTGAATCAGGGTCAGCAACTAGATACAGTGTTTCTATTATACGTCAGGTCAAACAGAACTGAACTGAATTTCTGGAAAATGTCAAATCCAGTAAACAAGGTTTCTTTTATATAATAACAAGTAATTTAATAAAAACAATTTAAAACTAACAAACAAATAATTAAATTAAATATACATAACACAGGTTTGCAAGAAACGTTTACATGGACTCAAAGCAATTGGTTAAGCAGGTTTATTCATATTTATTAGAAATATTATATTTCATATTCTGTCTTTCAAATTTTTTTTGTTTTATGTTAATTCATTTATCAAATTAAAAAAGTAAATTCCACCAGTTGGAAAGGAATTTATTATGTTGTATACTC